TGGTCTCTGTGGATTAGCTGCTCTGAGCAGGAATATCATCCTCAGGGCTTGGTGGACCAGGACGTGCTCCACTCTCTCTCCCTCCCCCTTCGTCTGCTCCCGTGTGCTCTGATCAGACACGTCCCTCCCCTGGGCTGTAGCTTCAGTGCTGTCCTCTGAAGTGAATTCTGCGGGGAGTGGGGGTGGGGTGTGCTGTCCACGTAGTTGGGATTGGGGCCGGCCCCTCAGACCTCTTTATTGCTTCTCTGCTTTCTCCTGTATTTTTAATAAGCAATGCTTTATGCAAGGGAGGACCTGGGTGGGCGTGGATCTAGGGTTAGCATTTATTCTATGTGCACTTTCAGAAGTCTTCAGAGGCATGGAATAGAGGGTGGAGCTGGGGTGGTAGGAGTGTGTTCATTCACAACTGCTTGCCTCACCCTCATACAGACGTTCCTTGTCTTACTCTGCTTCTTAGATCCTGTGTTTTATGCACATTGAAAGTTTGTGGCATCGCTGTGTCAAGCAAGTCTGGGCATCATTTTTCCAAGCGCATGTGCTCCCTTGGTGTCTCCAGTGGTGGTGTCCCATTGTGCCCTGATGCTGTTGCCTGCGTCCTAGATGACGGTGGTGCTAACAGCACTTTTCTGGGTGTGCCCAGCTTGCCCGTGGCTGCTGTACTGCAGAGCTTCTTGTGTACCAACTACAGTGCGTCAGTTCACATAACACACTGGCGGGGCTTGTGTGGACACTCCAGGACAGGTGGACATTGCCAAAATGGTGAGCCCTGTGTCTCTGTTTCTGTGCAGGCAATTGGGGGCCCCATCTTGTTGTTGTGAGAAGTTGTAACATCCTCAAGTGGGAGCTGGAGCTGAAGCGCTGGTGCCCCGGGCTGAAAACCCTGCTGTATGTTGGCAGCCACAGAGAACTCAGAGCCAAGAGACAGGTACTCAGGGACTCACAAAACTACGCTCACCCCACTTTGTGCGGAAGGTATTTCAGAATGCCTAGACCTGGTGGTACAATAAGTTGCACACTGGACTGCTAGCCCAGAGGTTGGTAGTTGGAACCCACCAGCTGCTCTGTGGGAAGACGTGACACACTCTGGACAGCCTTGCAGGTCACAGGGCCGCTCTACTCAGCTGAGGGGTTGCTGTGTTTGAATCAACGCCACAGCGAGACAGTCTTTTTTTTCCCACTGAAAAAATAGGTACCCTGAGGTACGCTTTTTTCTTTGATGCCTCTACTTATTAACGTTTTTTTTAAAGGGTAGCTAGAGTGCAGTCATTTTCAAGTTCAGTACACATCAGCCTTCATGACCCTGAGATCCAGAGAAGTAGACAGTGTCCAGCTGCCACTGCCAACTGCTGTGGGAACGACCAGAGTGGGGAAACTCAGACTCATAAGGGACCAGGTGTGTGGCTCTTGGTCACTCTTCAGGTCAACAAAGTCAGCCCTGTGTTAGCATCATAAGCTCCACCTAGGCTCAGAAGGGTAGCAGCTGGGAAAGGAGTACAAACAGGAAGTGTGATGAGCGCCGACGGTGCACTGAGGGGATGGCAGTGATGAGTTGAGCAAAATGTGTGTGAACTGGTAAGTGTAAAACTGAAGGTCTACACTCTACACCTTCACCCGGTTCATAATAAAGTATTCAAAAAGTGTGGGCAAAGAGGGTAAAAAAGATACTGGAAGTTTTCCACAAACCTCCCTCATGAAGCCCCCTGCCATGCATGGGCTCTGGGAGCACTGGGGCCTCTTGGTGCTGCCAGAGCTACTCCCTGCTTAGTCGGCACAGTGCTGCCGACAGCCAGGACAAAGACTCGCAGCCCGCCACTCAGCGGATCAGCCGAGCACTGAGACAGGAGTGGGAACCGGTCACAGCCAAGCTGGGGATTTTCAGGCCTCATGTTCCAAACTGCGCCGGGACTGGGAGACCACGGCAGCCTTGTTCTCCACCTGCAGGAGTGGGCGGAGCCCCACAGCTTCAACATCTGCATCACGTCCTACAAGCGGTTCTTCAAGGGCTACCACTCCTTCTCGAAGGTGCGCTGGAGGTGCCTAGTCATTGATGAGATGCAGCAAGTGAAGAACATGACTGACAGGCACTGGGGAGCCATCTTCAACCTGCACAGGTGCGTGCGCACACCCTGCTGGGTGCCCCTGACGCTGGGTCGGGCAGGCAGGATTAGGGTTATCTTCTAGTGGCAGTGCTGCCACACACCTGGTTGGAGTGTGCAGGGCTCAGGAGACTTGAGAGTTGATTTCACGAGGCCCACTTCCTCTGTTCCCCCTACTGCGCTCTTGCCCTCTTGTAAACGCTCCCAGAGAGGAAGCGTCTGCAGTCCCTGTGCTTAGGAACATGGGAGTTTCGCTAGCATTTCTCCCCTTACCTGCAGCCAGCAGCGCCTGCTCCTCATTGATGCACCTCTGCACAACACCTTCCTGGAGCTATGGACTGTGGTGCACTTCCTCATCCCCGGCATCTCCAGGCCCTACCTGAGCTTCCCACTGAAGCCTCCCAACGACGAGAACCAGGATTACTACCACAAGGTGGTCATCCGGCTGCATCGGGTACGTGGCTGGCGGTTTAAGTTGGTCACAGGCACACTTGGTCCCTATCGGGCATACCGCCAGTATCTCTGGAGAGAAAACGGGGGTGTGTTTCCAGGTGACCCAGCCGTTCATATTGAGGAGAACTAAGAGAGATGTGGAGAAGCAGCTGACCAAGAAGTACGAGCATGTGCTCAAGTGCCGTCTTTCCAGCCGACAGAAGGCCCTGTACGAGGACGTCATCCTCCAGCCCGGGTGAGTGCCCATGCACTCAGCTCAGGGTGAATGAGGCTGAGGGTGCACGTGCAGGTGCACGTGTGCTGGGGACACAGGGGCTTGGTGGACACTGATCGTGGAGGATGGATCTCCAAGAGGCCCAAGAAGGGCAGAGGGATGGCTCTCTGTCTGGGGCCATGTCCGCCATGTGCCTCAGAGTGCCTCCCACACTGTCTGTCCCCTCTGTTGTCTGGGTCAGCTGATAGTAGTCCTTGAGTAGGCTACCCACTCAGAGAGCTGCTGACACCCCAGTTCCCTACAGCCTTGGAGGCTGGGACCTAGGCCAGCTGTGTCTGCAGGTGGACAGACAACTCCCACTCTCCTGACAGCCATTCTCAATGGAGCAAGGCAGGTGGCCGTGCACCCCTGCTGCTCATGAGCACCCCCAGTGCTTTCCTCAAGGCCCCCTGTGCTGCAGCCAGAGCACAGAGCTGGAGCTGGAGCGACGGGGGTCCAGACTGAGCTAGGCTGGTTTCTCTGACCTCACAGGACACAGGAGGCCCTCAAGAGTGGGCACTTTGTCAATGTCCTGAACATCCTGATGAAGCTGCAGCGTATCTGCAACCACCCAGAGCTCATCGAGCCCCGCGTGCCCGGCTCCTCCTACGTAGCAGGCTCTCTGCACTACCACTCTGCCTCCCTAACTCTCAAGGCTTTGGAGAGAGACTTCTGGAAGGTAGGAGAGGTTTGCGTGGGCACACATCCTGTTGCTGCTGCCACCGTTGCCGCCACCGCTGCCACCTTTCAGCAATCGAGACCCTGGTCCTGAGTCCCGAACTCAGTGACTGAGGCCCTCAAGGGGTTTGGTGATGGCTGAGAGATATTTGTAACTTTACCCCCGTAATGCTCTGCTATGATCACGGCTCTATTTGCAGCATGATCCGTGCCCGTGCAGAAATACCTCTGTCAGAGGTGTGTGTTTGTGCCTGTGGGTGTGGCCCCATCTCCCTCCCACCCCGTTGCACCTGCGTGCCTGTCTCTGTGTCCATGCGGGTGGCTGTTATGACTGTGCGGGCAGGATGTGTATGTTACAGCCGTGTTTTCCATTGCCAAAAAGTCTTGGAGGTTGTTTTCTAATAAGGTCTTGCATTTTGTAATTGCCCAATGGAGCCAATACCGAAAGATCCCTGATGGTACTGTGGGTTGAACATTGGGCTGCCAACTGGGAGGTTGGCAGTTTGAGCCCACCAGCCCCTCCACAGGAAGAAGGTGGCGCTGCGGCTCCTGTCAGATTTTGTCCCAGGCCACGCTCAGGAGCAGTTCTACTCCTCCCTCCAGGGTTGTTGAGGGGTGGGGACAGACGCGATGGCAGTGAGCATAATTTACAGCATGCCCGTCTCTCGTTGTAGAGGTACTTGGAGTGGGAGACGGGTTCTACTTTCAGCATGTTGGCGGGGAGGCGCTGCAACATGTCCGGTGTCATGTCCGTGTGCTCACGCTGAGAGGATGCCAGTTGGCGGGGTTCCGTCCCCTCACAGCCTGAAGCCCCACTTCACCTCTCACTGCAGTTCTTTCTGTCTGCTTCACAGCTCAACGCCTCTCCCTTTAACTTTTTATTGTGACCTATGCGCTTACATATCAGATCATCGTTTCTGCATTTGGTCACTTACCCAACCTCCCAGCAGCCTGCTCTGTCACACCACACCCCTTCTCTCTCTTGTAGCATAGTCTCTCCCTTCACCCAAGGTAGCACCTGTCTACCCTCTAGCCGATGATTCTTCCTTCCCGCTTTCCCTTCCCACTCCTGTTTGCCGTCACAGCCTGTGTCTTCTGGTATGAAGACCATTATCTGCTCTGTTTCCTTTTAAATCACAGTGGTGCTTCTTAGGGCTCTCAAGTGGGTTCTGACTGCCAGCGACCCTATGCGCAACGGAGGGAAGCGCCCCTCACCACTGTTAGCTGTGAGCCGTCCACTCAGCCTGTGTCAGTCCTTTCGCCGAGGGCCTTCCTTTATCCATCACCGCCCTCGACGTTACTAGACATGGTGTCCTTCTCCGGGGGCTGGTCCCTCCGGACAACGTGTCCAAAGTATGAGAGACAGTCTTGCCATCCTTGCCACTAAGGAGCACTCCGCTGCACTTCTTCCGATGCAGATGGTTTGTCTTACTAGCAGTCCATAGTACTTTCAATACCGTACCAGCACCACAGTTTAGAACACATCGATGATGCTTCAATATTCCTTATTCATCATCCAACTCTCACAATACATATGAGGCAGTTGGAAATATCGTGGCTTGGGTCAGGCACATCTTAGTCCCCAAGTGACATCCTTGTTTTTCAGCATTCTAAAGGGCCTGGTACAGCACGTCCTCCAAGCCTGTCCCAGCTTCCTTGTCATGCTTGAGCGGTTCCTGGTGTACTGTGTGTGCGTGCTCGTGTGCGTGCCGTGTTCCTTATTCTTTAGGGCACATGCCAGATGGGGGAGAGCGGAACCTAAGGTATTTCTAGTCCCACTTGTTTGAGGAAGCCCCACAGTGCGTTCCACAGTGGTTGTGCAGGTTTGCAGTCTTGCCAGCGGTGCTCTGGTCCCTCCTCATCCTCTCCAGCACGGGTTTGAGCGCAGTGCCAGGGTGAGGTGGCATTCGTCCTGGTTTAGATTTGCTTCTCTTGAATGCTTGGTGGTCGTGAGCATTTCTTCACATGCCTGTTGGCCGTCTAGGATGTCTTAGTGAGCTGACCGTGTCCTCTAGCCATTGTTTAGTTGGGTGGTTTGCCCTTTCCTTGCTGAAGTGTTGACGTCTGCTGTAGATTTTAGAGATTAGTGTCCCTTGTCTGTCATTGACAAAATTCTTTTCCCAGTCAGTGAGTGGGTCCCCCTGGGCCCTCCTCCCTCTTGGGATGACATCTTTTGATGTAGTTATGTATCTTATTTCTAGGATGTCTCAGTCATCAATTTTTGTCTTCAGTTGTGTGTGGTTTTTTACATTTTATTACGTTAGTTTGTTTATGCCATGGAGCAGGGATCCAGAGTGTGCCCTGGTTCCATTGATGAGCAAGCTGTGTTTCTCGGTTTACGTCTGCATCTTCAGCCCATCTTGAGTTTGCCTGTGCATGTGGAGTGAGGTGGGGCTCCTGTTCTTTGCTTCTCTGCACTGAGACCCAGCCTTGCCAGCCCTCCTGGTGAATGAGATGCTCTCTTGCCTGATTCATGGGTCTCACCCTCACTGGCCGGTGGGCAGCGGGGCTGGCGTCTGTCCCAGTGGTCTGCGTGTGTTCAGCTGGGCCAACCCCAGGCTTTGTAGCAGAGTTTGAGGTTGGGTAGCGATAGGCCTCCTACTGCTCTTCTCCTTTAGAACAGAGGCAGCTCCCGGCTCCCCCTCGTGCCTCACCTGCCCTGAACATCCCGGGAACAGAGTCACACCGGCCTGGTCTTTTTGTCACTGGCTGCTTTCTCTTGGTGTGTATCAGGACTTGATTCTACCGTCTGCTTGTAGGGAGCTTTGCCTGTTGGTCCGATGGGTCCTGCTCTGTGACTGTCACAAGCAGGGGTGCTGGGAGATCCCGTCTACAAACGTGTGTGGGTGCCCTTTCCGGTCTCTGGCACACAGACAGGAGTGGTGTGGTGGGTCAATGGTGACGCCATGCCTGCTGCTTGCCTGTTGCACCATCCCAGTGGCCGGGCAGCTGAGCCACCCGTCAGCCTTGGGGAGCACTGGCAGTGGCCAGCTGTGTTTTCTCTTGGTCCCCCAGTATTTGCTGAACCCTCCTCTCCCCCATCCCCTCCTTGTCACCTGTCGTTGATACATCGACAGGCTGCGGCCCTCGGCTTAGAGCAGGCCAAGGCGGATGCCAGTGCCTGCACACCTGCACTGGCAGACCCATCTCCCCCTCTGTCTTCAAGGGTGCTGTGCAGGTCTTCTAGATGCTTCTGTCTCACTTCTGCTGCATCTTCGCTGTCACTTGTCTTGGAGGGACTTGCCTCCAGCCTTCCCTGGCAGGCTGACCGCCTTCTCTGCCACTGAGAGTGGTTGTTTTCCTTCTTTACGTAGGAAGCAGACCTTTCCATATTTGATCTCATCGGGCTAGAGGGTAAGACCACACGCCACGAGGCGGAGCTGCTGTCCAAGAAGAGGGTCACTCGGAAGCTCATTGAGGAGATCTTCACCTCGCCCCCACCGGCAGCCAGGCCCGTTGCGGTGAAGCTGAAGCCGAGCAGGTGTGTGGCACTCACATGTGTGATCCTTGCTCCATGCACTGTCATACCCCAGCCTCGACACACCCTTCCTGCCAGTCACATAGCAGCTCTCAGGCGAGACCGGCCCTCACCCCTGCATGTGTTGCACCCTGAGCTGCTCCTCAGGGTGGCTCTCAGGGCAGGACATCAGTGTGTGCAGACGTGCCTTGAGGTGTCTTCGGGTCTGGGCAGCAGAACCATGTCAGAGAAGCTGGCCCTGAGCAGCATGGGACCAGTGGGTTGAAGCCGAGGGCGGGAGAGAGGAGAAAGCGGGTGTCATAGAGGTGCTGCTGCTGGGCCCCATCATTGGTTTCCTGACTGTGGTTTTCATGCCTGGTCCACGGGCTTTCAGGTTGTTTCAGCCTGTGCAGTACGGCCAGAAGCCAGAGGGCCGTACCGTGGCCTTCCCCAGCACCCACCCGCCCCGGACAGTCACGCCCACTGCAGCCCCTGCCGTGCCTCAGGGCCAGGTCCGAGGACGGCCGCCCATCGCCACCTTCTCTGCGAATCCAGATGCAAAAGGTATGCACACATTACCTGCTGACCGGCAGTACACAGTTGTGAGCAGGGCAGCCCGGTGGTGGCCGCTGCCACGCAGCGGTGGACCGCCGCTCTGTATGGCTGAGGTGCAGCCCTTCCCCTCAGCCGGGGCTTTCTCTTACACAACAAACCCTGTTTGTGTGGTGCTGCGTGGACGCCGCAGAGCAGGTAGATGGGTGGTGGAGGTGCCGTAGCACTTCTGAAAGGCCCTTCTTGCTCTATTTGTGCCATCGTGGTAGCTCACCTAGCTGTTACCGTGAAGAGGGATGCGATTCAGTGGCAGGACAGGTACAAAGAGTGTTGCAGCTTCCAATCTAGGAGTTCTTAGCATTACTGCTTTCCCTTTTTCTGAGAGAGAAGCTAATGTGCAGAGCTGCCTTGTTGCAGAATTCCCTTGGAAGGTAAGATCGGAAGCTCTGTGTGTGTGCGTACGCACGCAGGAGAGTGTCTAGCTGTCTAGTGGATAGTAAGGTTGGTGGGGCCACTTGTAGTTCCTATTTATCTGCTCTGAGAAACGTACTGTGTAGCTGCGACAGGAACCAACAAAGGGCATACGTCCCGTTTCTCTGCCCCCATAAAGTGTATGGGGCCTTTTCCTTTTACAGAAAGGGCTTCTCAGTAGAGAAACAGTGTGAGAGAATGTTCTTTAATTTCTCGGAAACGCGGGTGTAAGTGCTGCGTGGTGTTGAGACCCTCTAACCGCTCTGCGCACACGCGCCTTATCGATTGCAGTGGCGGCCGCACAGTCTCAGCCACCTCAGGCCTCCAGTGCTCCGAGACACCAGTCCACCACGACCTTCACCTCCGCACCTAGCGCAGCCCATCCTGCCAGCCTGCGGGGCCCGACCTCGGCCCCTGGCCCGCCCCTGCCCCCGGCCCCCGCGCACACCGCCTCGCAGAGTGCACTGCCCCCGAGGCTGGTGCTGACCGCCCAGGCCCAGGCTCGGTTGCCGAGTAAGTGGCCTCACCTTCCCAGATCTCTGACCTCTGACCCAGAGAAGTTGTACCTCACACACTGGCGTGAGTGAGGGGCCTCTGCTGCCCACGCCTTCTGGGCCAGCGTCCCAGCCTTCTCTTCCTGTTCTCCTCTCTCCCCACTCCCACCTGCTCACTCTGCTGTCCTCATGGCCTCCTGCTGGACTCACACAGACACTAGCACAGGCTCTGTCCCCCGGAGGCCACCCCCGCTCTCGTGTCAGCTCTTCCCACTAGCCACGGGCATCCACAAACCTTCCTTTCCTGTCGGTCACTTCACACCACACTGCTCCCGAGAGGTCTTGTGATAACTAAACCGATAACTAAACCGATGAGCCTCACAGATCTTTTCTCAATGGCAGAGGGTTTACTGTGCTTCCTGTGGTTCTGCGTCTTCAGATCCACCTGTCCTGAGTGGTGCCCCTGTGGAAAGTCCGCGGACCAACTGTACACTTTAGGGATGCCAGCTCAGGGGCTTTGGTTCTTGGTACCGAGGCTTTTCTGGAAGGATGTGTGAGTGGAGAGAGACTGACAGCAGACCTGCTGCTCATGTGACAGGTCTCTCTTATACTGCCGGTAGATAGAGAAATTGCCCTAATGTTTTTCTTGAAGACATAAAGCTAAAAACCAAACTCACTGCCATTAAGTTGATGCCCTGTCCTTTAACAACTCTATAGGACAGGGGAGTCCTGCCCCAGAGTGTCTCCAAGGCTGTAAATCTTTACAGAAGCAGACAGCCTCGACTTCTCCCATTGAGCCACTGGCGGGTTTGAACCTCCAGCCGTGCTGTTACCGGCTCAACGTTTACGCCCTCAAGCATTCCACGTGTTTCTCAGCTCAGCATGCTCTCCATGAGATGACGGTCACGTGGTTGTGCCTTGACTGTAGAGGAGGCTGTCCCTTGAAGGGCGGGCTGAAGAGGGCTAGCGGGAGCCCCACATTCCAGTGGCAAGTCACGTAGACCTCTCCCCGCTTTCCCCGTTCTACCTGGGTGTGTGTGGGCGGAGCTGAGACCAGCGTTCCCGAGCCTACTAACTCTTCTTGACCTCTCACTAACGCTCTGAGGAAGGGCTGTCTAGACTCAGACATCCATGTGGTGCTCAGCTGTTGCCCAGGGCTCCCCTCTTGAGAGGCTGGCCAGGGTGTGACGCTGCAGATGGAACCCTCTGGTCGGTTCCGATCAGCGTGAAGACCCCATGTTTTCTCTCACTCACGCGAGTTCACACGCGCGTTGGGGTATGTTCTGGGCTCAGCAGGTCCTGGTGTGGTTGGGACAGTCACTCCATGCATGGTTTGCCCTCGAAATGCTCCACGGTTTGAAAGTTTTCTGAGAGTCAGAGGCTGATGCGAGTTTCCGAGGGCATGGCAGCTAGGTCTCTGCCGGGTGGTGTCTGCTGCTTTCCTTATTGCTTGGGAACATAGGACCTACAGAAAAAAGTAACATCTTTGATAGTATTTCGGTTAGTAACATTGACATCTGGTATCTAAGACTCATAGCAGCTATGGTTAAGGGAGTGAACTGTCACGAATCTGACATACTTCTTAACTCTTTCTCTTTCCTGTGGACATCCCTGTGTTTGCGAGTGGGTGGGGACAGTGTCGATGCATGCTCCTGTGACACTTGTTCCCACTGTAGTCAGTCACCCTACGCACCTGGTGGCCGCCATGAGGCAGGCGCACTCGCCTTCCCGGGGTGTCTCTGACTCGGCTCTCCGTGCGTCTGCTCAGGTGGGGAGGTGGTGAAAATCGCCCAGCTGGCATCCATAGCAGGGACCCAGAACCGCGTGGCTCAGCCCGAGACGCCTGTGACGCTGCAGTTTCAGGGGAACAAGTTCACCTTGTCACACAACCAGCTCCGGCAGCTGACAGCCGGCCAGCCCCTGCAGCTGCAAGGTAAGGAAGGCGGGCAGCCTGACCCTGCCCACTGCCACGATGGGAGAAAGCCTGCTGCAGCTCCCGCCTGCCCTAATGAGGGCGGGGTGAGGGCAGGTGCGATGCTCGTCCTGCCTCGCTGCAGTCCGAGGCGGTCATGGTGCCACTGTGCCTGCCCTGAGGAAAGAAGCCCCCTCGCTGCAGTGTGAGGCAGCAAGCTGCCTGGGGTCTGATGAAGACCTGCTCAATGGGGGTTACCCCTCCCTCAGACCCAGTCTGGAGGGCCCTTGGGGGTGGCGGGGAGTGCTTCCCTGGCAACCATGTGGTCACGCTCACTGGGACCCAGGACAGAGAGCCTTACCCATGACCTGTCCACCCCAGCGTCCACACAGCCCCGGAGCCCCTTCTGTCATTGAGGACCCTCTGCCATGGGTGTCCCTGAGGACAGTGGTGACCGCGTCAGGGGCAGCTCTGCAGAGTCATGGGTCACACATACTGAAAGAGCTGCAGCCGTCGCAGGAGCTGGGGTCAGGATACCCCTCAGGTGGCGGCTGTGTGTGGATCATGGATCAGGGCGCTGCAGGCCCACGGCACGAACCACCACTGCTTACGTTCCTGCTGTGTGCGTGCGTGGGCGTGTGGGCCTGCGGGCTCCTGACTGATGTGCTCATGTCCCTGCAGGCAGCGTGCTCCAGATCGTGTCGGCGCCCGGGCAGCCCTACCTGCGCCCTCCGGGCCCCGTGGTGATGCAGGCTGTGTCGCAGGCGGGGGCTGTGCATGGCGCCCTCGGCACCCTTGGAGGAAAGCCCCCGGCAGGCACCCCGACTCCCACGCCCCTGGCCCCACAAGGTACCCTGGGCAAGGGCTGTGGACAGGTTCTTGTGACCTGTGTTCCCAAGGTAACTGAAAGGGGCGTGGGCCTCCTGGGCCTCAGTGCTGCATCGGGCCTGGGCTCACCTCTCCCACGGTCAGTCCTGACCCCAAGCCCGGATCATCAAGGTGACGGCTGAGTGGAGCCAGCCCTGCTGGGCGGGGATTGGATCTCCCATCCATGTTCACCAGAGAGCACGAGGGCTGGGCCCCCGTGTCTCTGTGCCCCCAGACGGACCCCCTGAAGCAGATGGTGTGCTCCCCGCATGTCTTCCTGGCCTGCCCTGTTCTGTCCTTGTTCCTCTCAGCCTTACAAGTGGCTGCTCACAGCTCCCAACTGTCTGTAGAGTTGGTTCAGCTTCCTGTGGGAGGCACCCTTGTCATTCCCTCTGCTGCTCCCGGGGAGTAGACTGCCCTAACACTCATGTGCTATCCCCCACCACTCCCAGCTCTCTCAAGCCAACAGAGGGTACTGTGGTGGCACTTGTTCCTGCCTGCTCTCCAGGGTCCTCTGTAGCCACCTGCCTGCCCCAGCTCCTGGCTCTTGTTTTTTTACACAGTTCTATTGGCACATAATTTACATAGCATACACTTTAGTAGTTCAGTCATATCAAGGAGAATTGTACAATCATTATCATATCAATTTTAGAACACCCCTCCCCCCATGGTTAAATCTTCTTTAAAATGAGTTGTGCTGTCTGTTCTACTATTCCCACCCCCTCCGTCTTCATTTCCCACTCCCAAAATCCCCCCTCCCTCCTGATTACCCACTGCCACCCCTGCATCCCCTTATCAACCCCTATATCCATTATCACTGTGCATCCACTCCGCCTGTGGGTCACAGACTGGGAAACCCAACAGACACAATAAAATCCAAATTCAAAATAAGGTGGTAAAGATAATAAAAAGACCAAAATACAACTAATGAGTAAGAAAGAAAAGCGCCTCGTCAACATTTCAAAAGCCGCTCCTGGCGTTTGTCTTCGCCCTCGGAGTGCTGCCCTGTCCACAGGTTGACTGCTTGTGTGTGTGGCAGTTGACTGTGCCGGCTGACCTCTGGATAAGGACCTGCTTCAGTGCCCTCGTGATGACAGCTGCACTCTGCTCATCCTTGGGGTGGGGGGAGGGTTTGCGGTGTGTGCGTTCCTGGTAGCACACGCTAGAGTGGGTTCCCCAGTTAGCACTGTTCAAGGAGCCAGCTGGTTTCTGGTGCTGACCCTGTCCCATGATTCCCGGAGTGAGTCGTGCCTGCCCGGGCTTGGGAGCATCTGTGTGGTGTAGCCCCTCGGCTTCTCTGCACGAGGGCCAGTGAGTTGCAGCTCTCTGGGGCTCAGTCAGGAAGCCGCCCTTTGTGTCTGTTGTTGGGCTCCCTCCTGAGCTGGCACAGGGTGGATCCCTCAGGCTGCCGGGACCCCTCTCACTCATGTTTGGTCGGTGTTCTAGGCCGAGTGGCAGTGAACCCCATGGGTGCAGGAGAGTCCAGCACGGCCCCCAAACCAGCCTCACCTCTCGGCACTCCGAACCAGGTATGACTCGTGCCCCTGTGGGTGACCTCCTCCCCCCAAAACAAAAGAAAACAAAAAAGCACAAGTTCCGTCTCCTCTGTGAGCTGACAGAACTGCTCTTCCACATAGAGATCTCCCCACGTGACCTGGAAGCTCCTCTGCCCTCACACAGACTGGCCTGTGTTTCGGGTGGTTCTCTTCATCCTGCCAGGGACTCCCTTGCATTCCCTGCAGTGAGTTAGGTGGGGAGTTGCTGCCCTAGTGAAGTCGGCAGCTCCCACCCACTAGCTGCTCCACAGGAGGGAGGAGGAGAGGCTGCCTTCTCCCAGGCTCGGAAACCCTGTGGGGCAGTTCTGTCCTGTCCTGCAGGGTGCTGGTGGGAGTCTGCGTCCACTTGACGCCACTGGTCTGGTTTGACTTCTCTTTTTCTGCCCCTGATTGTTGCAGGCAAAAGAAAGAGAGTGAGTGTGTGTTGGTGTGTTGTGTGGCGTGGTGTGTCTGGTATATGGTGTGTATATTAGGTGTGGTGTGGGGTGGGGGGCTGTTCAGGTAACCTGGAGGGAGTGTGCAGTGTCCCTTTCCTCTGTTTCCGCCCAGGAGGAAAGGGCCAGACTCCTGAAGGAGCGGCTGGACCAGCTCTTCCTTGTCAATGAGCGCCGCTGCTCCCAGGCACCCATCTATGGCAGAGACCTGCGGGGGGTGTGTGCCCTGGCCACACGGGGTTGTCCCGGCGACAGCAAGAGCACTACGGCATTGGTGCTGAGCCAGTGGAGAGAGTCTCTGCAGGACCTCACAGACAGGTAGCTCACCTGGGTGACGTGGTTCCTCCATAGAAGCATCTCTGTCTCTGAGTCGTCAGGTCCATTTGGAACTCATCCCAAGTGTTGGGCGTCGGGGTCAGCTGTGCCTCCTTGTCTGTGGTCTGTGGGAGGCACACAGTCTGCCACCCTCCCTCAGACGTATCTACCCCACCCCACCGGCTGGCCTGTTCCTCTAGGGAACAGGTCAACCTGGGCGCTCCTTGGCTGTAAAGCCAGGCTCTTGTGCCCAATTCCGTGCATATATTATTGATAATTCTGTTTTTCTTTCATTAAAAACCTCTTTTCTTGAAGCAAGGAGCCCTTGTGGCGCCGTAGTTATGTGTTGGGCTGCGATGCGAAAGATCCGCAGTTTTAAACTACCAGCTGCTCCCCAGGACAGAGGCGGGCTTCCTACTCCTGTAAAGCGTCCCGGTCTCAGAAACTCCTGGGGGCAGCTCTGCCCTCTCCTAGAGGTCACTCTGAGTCCGTGTTGGCTCAATGGCAGGGAGTTTGGTTTTGGTTTGGCTTCTTGAAGCGACAGCTGATGTGTTTCGTTCGACTGATGAGCAGCGTGTGTAGGAGTTAACTGAAGAACTCACTCTGCGAGAACTCTAGAAGGCAGTGAGCGCTGTGCCTGTCAGCGAGGCCAAGTGTGCGTCCCTTCCTTCCTCCATGTCACTGTTGAGACACAGTCCCAGGCGTGGTCCCCATTCAGAGGGAGGTCTGCCCAGGACGTCTCAGTTGCAGGCTAGGTCTCTCGGACCAGAAACAGAGAGGAGAAAGTCACACACAGGCACCTCCAGCTCCAGCCTCTGCTCCGAGCTGCTTAGCGCCTCTTCCTCTTTGGCACATGTCTCTATCCATCTCCCTTCAGACTGGCTAGTGTGGACACAGGCTGTAGCAAGTAGATAGGAAATGAACCAGCTGGGCCTTGTAGGGAGAGATTGCCAGGAGGTGGGTGGTGGGTGGTGGGTGGTGGGTGGAGGGCTTGGCAGGGTCCAGCAGGGTACAACTTCCACAGGCAGGTCTAGATAGCAGGCCACCTCAGAACCAATTCCTGAGGTCCGGGAGCCCTCTTCTGATGGAGTCAGTCACTGTGTGGTGACTCAGCCAGGACCAGCCAGGGTCACCCTGTAGCCCTGCTCCGCCTAGCTGTTGGAGGTAGTGGACATGCCGGCTAGTCCCCATGGCAACGAGTGAGGCCACCACTGCAGCTCCTGCAGGACCTTCTTTCAGAGACCCTGGCCAGTGTCCTAAGCGGCCCGCTGCTGTCTGTCCGGCCCTCAGGCACTCCTCACTGAGCCTCCGTCCTCTCCCTCCAGGGTGGCGTGTGTGATTCCCCCTGTGGTTGCGGCACCACCCGCCCTGCGAGTGGCCAGGCCGCCCTCCAGGTACAGCCACAGGATGAAGGTCTTTGAGCACAACCTGCGGGAGCGTGCCGCCCCCTACCTCCAGCAGCTGCAGCAGCTCACAGCCCTGCGCCTGCTGCAGTTCCCTGAGCTCCGGCTGGTGCAGCTTGACTCAGGTGTGGTGCGGTACGGTGCGGTGCGGTGCGCGCTGGGGCTCGCCACACTTGTGCCCCCCGGCCCCTGCTCAATGCCATCCCCTCTACAGGGAAGTTAGAAGCACTGGCAATCCTCCTGCAGAAGTTGAAGTCGGAAGGGCGCCGTGTGCTCATCTTGTCTCAGATGGTGCTCATGCTGGACATCTTGGAGATGTTCCTGAACTTCCATTACCTCACCTATGTGAGAATCGATGAGAACGCCAACAGCGAACAGCGGCAGGTGGGTGGGCTAAGACCTTGGCCTGGCTACTTAGCGCTGTACCTGCAGTGCTGTCAGAGCCCTCCCGGGGCACAGGCGGGTCTGGGTGAAGCCATACTGAAAGCCCTTGGCAGTATGCGGTGTGGTGCCGCAGGCCGTGTGAGGCGGGGCAAGCTCCTTTCCTCGCAGGGAATGAACGTGAGGCTGCGTGTCCCCGTGCTTCCCCTTACCAAGGTAGTTGAGAGTGTTGTGCTGTGTAGACAGCATAGCCTGTAGGGAGCATCCCAGCAGACGGATGCACTCAAAGGTGAGTGTGCAGCCTGACTCTGACATCTGCTGAGGACATGTCCTTACTGTCCTTACACAACAGCCATGACAGACTTGGTGAGGGTGTGTGCGGGGGCGCAGCTTTCACCATGGAGATGTTGGCAACAACCCCTGGACAGGGGCAGCGTAACTCCCACACACGTGCAAGGAGAGGTGTGCCATGGGCCACATGGCGTGGCATTCCACAGTCATAATGATGCCTTAGAAATTTGGGAACGCGACACATGTTCTCAGGACAGTGGTAAACGCTGTACCATGGGCCACACTCCCACTGAGCTGTGTGCTCTCCCTGTGCCTACATGCATGTTGGCTGGGCCCTCGGAGACAAGCGCACATGCACAGAGAGGGTAGGGTTTGTTGCAGGCAGAGGCTTGGTCGGGCGGGGCAGGAAAGTCCTCTTGGCTGGTGGCTCTCCCTGAGGCGGGCTCCTCTCACGGCTCCATTCCCTCACTGGCTTCCTCAGCCTTACTCCTGGGCCTTCTCGCTGTGGAGTGCCCTGGCATTGCCTGAGGATAGATAAGAAAGCCCGTGTCCCTCCCCAGGAAGAACCCACTTTTCTTCTGGGGCCTACACATTGAGCTAACAGTGCATGCACACTGGGACACCACCCCTCACCCCCACCCCGCCTCCGCTATGACTGGTGACAGTTACCGAAAGAAGGTGCAGATGCAGGAGGGAGATCAGGGAGCAGCTGGGTGGAGTGAGCATTTCCCTGGCTCCGCCCCAGCCTCTTGCAAGGACTGACCGTAGCATGTCTTTCCTGGTAGGAGCTTATGCGCAGCTTCAATAGGGACAGGCGCATCTTTTGTGCCATCCTCTCGACGCACAGCCGCTCCACAGGTGTGAACCTGGTGGAGGCAGACACTGTGGTCTTCTACGACAACGACCTCAACCCACTGATGGATGCCAAGGCGCAGGAGTGGTGCGACAGGATCGGGCGCTGCAAGGACATCCACATATACAGGTGGGAGGTGCCACACTGCCGCAGTGCTGCCCAAGCAGAGGGCTGGGTGTTTTCTGAATATGCTCTTGTCCTCGGACCCTGCTAAGAGGGGTACTCGTGCTTGGGATTGTTTCAGATATTTAGACATCTCAGTCATCGGTTAGGAAACTGGAGCCCTTGTAGAACAGAGGCTTAAGTGCTCAGCTGCTAACCAAAGGTCAGAGGGTGAAAGATGAGAGCTTCTGCTTCCAGAAAGATCCACAGCCTCAGGACCACCCCACCCCCCCACTCCCCGGCCCTGAGGCATAGCTCCACTGTCCTACAGAGTTACTGTGAGTCAGAATGGACATGATGGGGGAGGGGGAGGCGTTGGGTTTGGCTTGAGGAACATCTTTAAGGAACCCTGGTGGCGCAGTGGTTAAGCACTTGGCTGCTGATTGAATGGTCTGGGGGTCAAATCCACCATTTACTTCGTGGGAGAAAGGTGAGGCAGCAGTCTGGTTTTATAAAAAGGTCACAGTCTTAGAAATCCTGTGGTGCAGTCGGCCTCTGTCCTGCTGAGCTACTGCGAGTTGGGGTAACATAGCAGCAGAGGCGTTGGCTTTTATTTTGGGTTATTGTAATAAAATGGTTACTGAACAAAGCCACCTCTGTTAAAATTACCTTCAAGCGCAAACAGTAACAACCAGCCACACTATGAGGGGAGAAGTGGCTCCCTGTGCCCAAACCTGTGATGATGTTGTGTGTGTGCGACTGGCAGTGGCAGGAGGGCCAGGCCAGGTAGTTGGTGCCTGTGTGCGCTGAGCCCCCTGCTGCCTGCTCTGGGTCACTCACTGCTCCTGTAGATAGGGGGTGCCCCATCTGCTTTGGGCCAGGGCAGAGCTACAAGGCATCTGTCTTCCCAGCCCAGCCAACCAGGAGCCATATCGGTCTTCTGCGAGGCCACGCATGGCTCTGAAAAAAGGTGTTCAAAGAAAAACCTCAGAAATCACTGCCATTGAGTCCACCCTGACTCAGGTTCCCTACAGCAACGGAGAAACAATGATGGCTTGCAGAATTCTGCCCTGTGGCCTCCACCATCATTTCTGCTTTCCAACGACCGCTTCTCCCTCTTAGTGTCAGATACCAGCACCAGCAATCATCAGTGCATCTTGAGTGCATGTTTGATCAACTTCAAAGAAAGGAAATTGGAAGAATTCTTTAGTTTCTTCATCACTCACTTTGGTAGTAGGTGTGGACATCTTAATAATAGTTGTATAAACTAGAAAATAGTAGTTTTCAGCGTCTAGATATCATCCTGTCACGAACAGCATTGTATGTGCTTTAAGATCTTGAAGGGTTCTTTTTGACTCAGAATGGACACCATTGGTCTTGAATTTGCCATTCCTGGAATAGTAAATCCTGTGATTGTGTGACCTGGAGTGACCCATACCAGTCCACTCCAGCTCGCTAGTGCTTGGGAGAGCGAGTGTTTTGTGAGTTCATTTCATTTTTGAGGTCTTCCTATTTCCCTTAGATTTGTGCTTTGTACATTCCACGTTCCAATTACTAGTGTTTATGGCTGTTCTCTTCTCATTTGAATGGTGCCCCAGCCACAAATGAAGACATTCTGCTCTATCCACATCGTTATGGTTGGCTCTACTTTTTTTTTAAAGTTTTATTGACATATGATGTACACATCATGCAATTCAGTAGTCACATTGAGACAAGCTGCACAGTCATTCCCACAGTCAGTTTTAGAACATTGTTTCCATCCTTGTGCTCATCATTATTCGCTGCACACCTCCCCCAGCCTCCCCTGCTTGCCTCCAGGGAGCCATTCGTCCAGTTCCTGCTCTAGATTGACCCGTCCTGGAAGACTGTTGCTGAACTACGACAACGGCAAAGGAAAACATTAAAAGCCTCCACGTGAAATTAAACATTAGAACAAATTTGAAATGGACCATGATGCATTCGGCATGATCGCATGGCTGTTCACATACCTGACCCATGGTTAGAGGGGATTCACCAGAGGCTTAATCCACATGTATTTCTCCTTCACTTTTCTTTTTTCCCCAACTAAAACAACTTTAATGTGGGTTAAAAGGGAGATAAAGTGATAAGATACAACATTCTAACCTAACTATGTCTGCCTTAATTGACTTTAGAATGAACTCTGATGACGAAGCCATTCATGTCCCTCAACTATGATCGGGGGTGGGGTGGGGGTGGGGGGTGTTCACCTGAGGCTTAGTCCACGTGTGGACCCTGAAATGCACTCTGGGCTTCCACTGTGATGCATAACCTCCTGCAAGGTCGGCTTTACTCTGGTGAAGCAGCTTCTGCAGTCCTTTTTCGAGTGCCTTCCAACCTGAGGGGCTTACCTTGACACAGTGGTCTGTCCCTCAGAGGTGGAAAGCCTGCTCCCTCTTGTTGTCTGTTCTTAGCCAAATACAAGTTCCTCCTGGTTTCTGAAATACTGGTAGCATAGCTTCCAGCCTCACAGCAACAGGCCAGCTAGCACAGCGTCGGATGGGATGGAACCCATTGATGACATCAGTAGGAAGAGACGAAGGAGAAGAGGCACTTATTTCAACAGAATAGGGGCAGACTGCGTGTCAAAATCAGGAAAGGTGTGCCCCAGGGTTGTATCCTTTCCCCATACTTAATCTGCATGCTGAACAAATCTTCCAAGAACACAGCATCAGGACTGAAGAAGACTCATCAAAAATTTGCAATATGCAGATGAAACAACCTTGCTTCCTGAAAATGAGGAAATTGGAGCATTTGCTATGAAATTCAACGACTATAATCTTAGGTGTGGGTTGCTGCTCAATGTAAAAGTTGGGGCCAGCCCCAATCCCAGCTACATTAACCCCTCCCCCAGGAGATTGCACTACAGCCCAGGTGGGGTGGCGGGTCTGCCCAGACCACACAGGAGCAAACTAAGAGGGAGAGTGAGAACTGCACCCTGACCCACCAAGCCCCGAGTACAACTCTCCTGCTGGGAGCAGCCAAAGCACAGAGAGGACTGTAGGGCCAGCCCCACCATGAGACATGACACCCCCTCACTGACCCACAGTGCTGCAGGGGACAGCACTGGAGACACAGTGTGGGAATTGTGTCCGGTCTGAACCCCCCACACTGGGGCGAAACACGAAGGGAGTGCAAGAGAGCAGCAAGTCCCCAAGGAATCCCCAAAATAGACTTCAGACTCATAGGGCAGGGCTGGGCACCTCATCAGACTCGATCGGAAAACATACATAAGGGCCAGCAGACAGACCTGGAACTATTTATAGGCCTTTTATTCCCCCCCCCCTTTTTTCTATGTCTGTCTATATAAGATAGGCAAGATAAGCAACCCCAAGGAGAAAACAGTGGGACTGATGGTTCTGGGGGGGGGGCCAGGGGAGAGGGGGAGGTGGGGGGAAAATGGGGAGCCAGCGAACTCAGGGACGAGGAAACAACAAGAGAACTAAAATTGATGGCAAGGAGGGTGTAGAGCGCCTGGTGGGGTTTGACCAAGTGCAGTGTAGCCGAGAGGAATTACTGAGAGCCAAATGAAGGTCGAACTTGGCAGTGGGATAGGAGGAAAGTAAAGAAAACAGAGGAAAGATCTAGGAGGCAACAGATATTTATAGCGGTATAAAGATAGGCGTGTATGTATGTAAATATACTAATATATAACAGTAGGGATATAGACTGTACATATATTTATATGTTAAGTATCAAGGTAGCAGACAGACTTGGGCCTCTACTCGAGTTCTCCCACAATTCCAGAACACTTTGTTATAATAACCTGGCTTTCTGTGATGATCACCTTCCCGACATGATCTCTGAAGGCAAAATGAGCGCATAAGCAAATGTGGTGAAGAAAGCTGATGGTGCCCGGATCTTAGAAGATATAGCGCTTGGGGTCTTAAAGGCTTGAAGGTTAAACAAGTGGCCATCTATCAGGGAAGCAACAAAGCCCACATGGGTGAAGCACACCAGCCTGTGTGATCACAAGGTGTCGAAGGGATCAGGTATCAGGCATCATCAGAACAAAAAAATTATATCATTGTGAATGAGGGGGAGTGCAGAGTGGAGACCCAAAACTCATCTGTAGGCAATTGAACATTCCCTTATGGGAGGGTTGCAGGGAGGAGACAAGCCAGTCAGGGTGCAGTATAGCAATGATGAAACATACAACTTTCCTCTAGTTCCTAAATGCTCCCTGCCACCCCTACCACACTGTCATGATCCAAATTCTGCCTTACAAATCTGCCTAGACCAGAGGATGTACACTGG